AACATGTATTCTAAAGACGGGAGGGCAAGTGGGCCTGGACGTGGCTCGAAGGCCAGCCCACGTGCACAAGGACCGGACAAATCCTAAAGGGACATCTACACTTCGGGTAATGATGTGAACACCTGACTACACCGATTACCTCGGGACTCAGATTAATGAACCAGGGAAAATTGGTCACTAATTTTCTTAAGCCTTGTAATATGTACTAGTTTGTTTAGGTGGACTTTTATAGATGAGAGGCGGAGACCAATCGGGAACGTGAATCACGTGCCTGATGTCGGCGAGGCGCCCCCCTCTGATTGATATCTCCAACTCACTTCATCTTTATCCCATTCCCACCCTTTCTAATTGCTATGTCTAATAGAGTGTCTGCAACCAACAACCTCTCGAAGTCTGAGGAACAGGGACCAGAGGGTGGACATGCGGTTACTACAAGCCTCTCTAAGCTTTTTCGTCCTAATACGCAGAATTAGGTAAAGATTATGCAGTTACTGCCTGTCTACCCTCTGGTCCCTGGTTCTCAGACTTTAAGAGGGAATAAAATGCAGATGCCGTGAGCAGGAGATGTCAATCGCAGGGAGGCTCCTCGTCGACCTCGCGCACGTGATCCATTTCTCCAATTGCTTTCCGCCTCTCGCCTATAAAAGTTCACTTAAACAAACTAGAATATATTACAGATTAATTTTAATTCGCCTTTGTATAAATTGATAGCATGTATTGCAGCTTGGCGAATTTTGCAGCCAGCTATAGAAAAATGCGAATGGCAACACATATTTCTCTGGCAGCCAGTTTAGGAACTGCCTGTCTACTCACATCATTGAACCGCGAACTTCAAGATAGGTTTATTGCAGTAGGTTTATTAGGCATTGATTACGGGAAGATCGGGGATAGGAGTGCAGATGTGCCGGATAGCAGATATCACCCGGGAGGGATCCCATGCGGTCCTCACGCAAGGAATTCACGTTTTAACTCGGTTCCCGCCTCTCCCTTTTTAAGGCCAACTTTAACAATCTAGTGTACATAAGAGTTAGTACTAACTCATCTAATAATTTTCTTGTGGCTTTAAAAATTGTCTCTTTTGCATAAATGTATTGTTATTGGGTTAATTTTAGTGTAGCAATCCTAGCTATACTTCTTTTCTAGAGTATTTTTTAAATAGCAGTGGCTGCGGACTTTACTTCTTAGATTGATGCATCTCTGTTACACATTCATATGTTGATACTTCATTTTTATCCATGTTGTTCTGTGATTGGGTGTTTAATGGTTAAAATTGTGGACCAATGACTATGCAGCCTATATGTAGGAAGCCTTGGCGCTTTTATGGTTTCTTTTAATTGGCGGCGTTGCGCTGTGTGGGCTTCTCTAGTCCACTAAAGATTGTGAACATTTGTACAATAGAGATCTCAAATCAGTGCCCGTGAAATATAAGCTTATCTCACTGCTTCCCTTCTTCCACACTTGGTGTTCTCTGGCGGTTTGGCTTTACAATTAAGTATGTAGTCCCCGCTCTTACTAACAAAGTTAATGTTTCCATTCGTCCAGGATGGTTTTCTGTGCTTATCTATTGTATTCAAAGGATTTCAGGCTTATTTATGCTCCCTTATTTCTGGTAATTCTCTCTCCTTCTTTACTACCGTTGCTAGTTATGCGTTTTTACTTAATTTTTCAAGTATTTTTAGAGCGCATCTCTGTTTATCGGTCAATTTTATAGCCAATTTCCTTTCCACTAGCTTTGAACAAGATGCTCGTAAAGGAATACCGAATATGCATGCCGATGACGGTCGAAGAATACCGGATCGCGCAGCTATATATGATCCAGGTAAGTACTCAGCTAAACGTTTGCATGCAGATGTGGAGCTTAACCACACTTGTGATCGAGGCAAGGCAATACTCGGTACTCAGTACCGATAAATGCTTAGCAGCTAGCCCGAGATTAGCTCTTGTTATCTTAATCAATTCTGTTTCTTTCTCTTAAGTGTTATTTCCTAGTTTACAGTTGAATACATATTTGTGTTCTTCGCAAGTTAATCTTACCAATCATATTATTGACCTGATGGTTGTGGCGGAGTTTCGGTCATTTCATAATTTCCCTATTTTGCAGAAGAAATCCCGGGAAGAAAGTACTGGGCGTGAAAGCGGGGTTGAAATACTCAAGAACACGCCATATACTGACGGTCCCGGGGGGAATGGTCAATACACATTCAAAATATATCACGTAGGCAGTCATATACCAGGTATTTCCATTATGAGAACTGGTCAACCTCTTATCCTTGAATCGAGACCTTGCATGCTTATGTTATTTTCATTGGGCGAAATATTTTCTCCACCATCTTTGACAACGTCATAACTCCCAGTTGTACTGTCAAATGCTCTTTCCTACCCCCACGAATGGCCCGTTTTCTGCTCATCAGGAAATCCAAATTATTCCGATTTTTGATTGTTAGAAGTTGTGCGCGTAGCTAAAAAATAATAATTATTATTGGTTATATGGTCACGATGGCTAGTTCGGAGTAATATTTCGACACCTTCTGGTGTTGCTTACATCCTATAACAATGAACCCCTCATAATAGCTGTTTATACCTTCATCTTTGCTTATTTTTATGCTATTGTGGCTCACTTCGATTCCTGGCCTTCTTTTTACGCATTCATTTCGTTCGATCAGGCTGGCTGCGTACCATAATACCGGACGCAGCGCTGCGAGTGGAGGAGGAGGCCTGGAATGCTTATCCCTACACGAAAACTCGCTACAGAGTTCCCTTTATGGAGAAGTTTTCCCTCGAAATCGAAACTAGGTATCTGGATGATGCAGGAGAAAGCGAGAATGTCTTTGATATGTCTCCTGCTGAATTGAACACTCGCATTGTCGGTAAGGTCATTCTTTATTCCTACTCACATCGATTTATGGTGATACTTGTGCACTTTTCTTTTGGATGGGTGAGACCGCTCATGTGGCGAAAATACATCTTGCATTTTACAAAATTTTGGGGTTTACTATAACAGTGATGGGTGTCCTGCTAAAAGCCCACTTGCTTTTGGGCTGCATAATAGTGGAATAGCTTCTTTTTCCATTCCAAAATATGGTTTTGTTCAGTCAGAGATCGCAATAGTGGCTAGTGGAAGTTTCGCTTTGCTCATTTAGCTGAGCGGCTGATAAATGCCTAACTATTTTGTTTGAAGCACGGCTTCAAGAACTTACTGAATTCGCATGAGAGAGTGATAGAGGAACATTTTGTTTGTGGCCGTCATATAACAACGCTCTAGTTGATCCAAAAATTGTGGGAAATTACGTCCTTCAATCGATTTAAGGACTTTTGACTCCATTGCATTTTTCATTTAAATCCGACTTTTCATCTTTACTGTGGGTCACTTAGAATGACATTAGAGCTGATAATTGAGTTGTAAAATAATTAAATTTAGTTTATGTAAGACCTAACCATATTCCTTCCAATCTCTTTATTTCTCCCAAAAAGCTTTAAAAAGGCAAGGAATTTATCATTAGTTGTTCTTCAAATGGGTTAACTTTATGACCTACTATTGAGCTGCCAGTGCTTGAAGTATTATAAATGCCTTAATTTAAAGCTTAGCAGGATTTCGCTCAATTTGATTTGGAGGTATGAGAGTGACAGCCCCTTGTTCGTTGTTTTCGTCTAGACTACATTGATATAGTGACTGATCCTCTGGCGCCCGCGAAGCCGGCTGAAGACCCCTCCGTCTACGTCTCCCAAGTGACTGGACGTGGTCCACTCTCGGCTGGCTGGCGTGGCGAATTTCAAGAGGCGATGCGCACAGGGCGGAAGTACCCTGGTCAGGGCACCAAACCGGACGCCACGGGCAGCGTCCCCACTGAGCCCCTTCCCATGCGTATCATGTGCTCTTACAAGGTGTGCCGTGTGGACTTCCGCTACTGGGGCATGCAGTCCAAAATTGAGAGCTTTATTCAGGACTATGGTACATATGCTGTTGACTAGTTCTCTGACTTAAGACAAACTTCGTTACCTTTTGCTCTACTTGTTTAGGTTCTAATATGTCAGTAGTTTTGCTCAAGTTTAGTAGTATTATTACCCAATGATTGTAGTGATTCTACGTGGGTCTTGAATGGCTGTGTGCTTACCATGGACGTTTATGGTGTACTCACTAAAGGGCTTGGGGACATTTGTGTAGGAAACGCTTCACGTCACCACTTCCTTCATGAGGTTATCTGACCGCCAGTCGCTGCGCCCTTGGTTGTTCTTCCAATTTCTTGTATATTGGTATTCACTTCAAAGCGACAAGAAGAAGCAACTATATTTTAGAACTCCAGTGATGAGGAAAAATCTCTCACCCACCTACGTAGTCGCATAGGGTGGATTGGAATCGTATACTCCTCATTACAAGAGTCTTAGCAATTGCCTATAAAGAAAAGTCTTACTCATTTAGTTTCCGTTTCCGTATGTTAGTAGATTCATCTCTCCTTTAAGGAGAAGCACTATTTTGTCCAAAGGAGAAAACTTTTATTTGGTTTACGAGGCGAAGAAGTTACAGTTCTAGCCTTTATTTTTGTAGTTTTACGAAATGTGAATGAAGGACGTGTCAATTAATAAATCATAAATGCATTAACTGAAATGCTTGCCAGTGCTGACAGGTGAGCCCATTGTGGGTAGAGTTGCGTGATCCTCCGTTACCAAAGTACTGTACAATTTGGACTCCGCGGTACACCGCTTAGGGCAAACACCGCACCACCATAGCCTTGCATTCCCCCTGGGTTGGCTTTTCAAAGGAAACTAACTATTGGTAGCTTTCGAATAACAGTTTTTGAAAAGATGTATTCCTTTCGACACATTTTCAAGCTCGGCATTGCGGTAGACAGATAAGCTCGCGAACTGTGTCAATAAATTGTTTTAATTTTACTGCAAATCAATGTCAAATCTTTTCTGACGTTGTCTTGGCCCACAGTACATGCATTTTGCCATTGGAAACCTGACTTCTTTCTACTGCTTTAGCTGTAGTGCCATGCATCTAAGGTTGAGCTTTTTTCTTTGATGACTTGGTGATTTCGAAGGGATTTATTTTATCATTGAAGGAATTAAATCTGCTTCTGACCACTCACGAACTTTACACCTTCTCCTTCCATAATTGTCTGGTCCTGATAATAGTCCATTTTCGGCACCAAGATCCTAGCGTCTGCCGCAAGATCATGCAGTATTCACCGCCAACCATTTCGAACGTTATTCATATACTTTCAGGACTTACTCAAGCATTAATCATTGGGAAGTTGGGAGCACTTAAGAGCTTTCAATGGTATTTCAGCCCTCCGTCGTACAATGGTGAGCGCGCATCGACAGGCGTGGACGTGGCAGGATGAGTGGTACGGACTCACTATGACGCAGATTCGGCAACTCGAGGCGGAGACGGCTAAGGCACTGGCCTTGAAAATGGGCGAGTCGGCGGGGAATAGCCTCAAAATTACGACCTTTTCACCCGATAGCGCCTCAGCAGCAATTACCGATCATCAACAAGGGCAACAGTTAGATCAGGTGAATTTTGCTAATTTGTTGGCTTTAGGTCCGAACTTGTTTAACTGTTTATGTCGCATCCATCAGCAGTGTGAAACAGCGCTCTGACGGACGGAAAATGCATCTTAATATTAATGGTTTGTATAAATTAGCTAATCAATGGAATTCAGCACATGTTTCCATTGGCTCTATGATCGTTGTCCGCATTGGCTTCATTCAATATTTTAGAAGGATGTTTGATTAAGTCATATTATGAAGTTTGAATTGCAGTGTCTCAATTACCCTTAACACAGTCGCGTAACGTATGGCAAGAACAGTAAAAAAAATAATGCAAGTAATTTCAATTTTCGCCATCACACGAAAGGCTTCAGTTTTCAATGTAAAAATGTTACTCTGTGACTCGAGCTTCCTTTCCAGGAGATCCCAGAAAGTGCAATGATCTCATCTGATGACGAGAACCTGTACCGATCTTTAGAAGCGATATATTCTCTTTGAATCAAATTTGACCGACTTAGGTTTAGTACAAAGGTGCTGTTTAATGTCTTCTTCGTATTGAAGAAGAAGAGTTGATTGTCGTTATGAAACCTGGTGAAGCATCGCTCTTGCCTTTATTGATGCGTTTCAAATAGCTAGCTTTGTGTAATGTTACTCAAACTTCTGGTATTTTCTCCTGCGGCTCCACAACTTATCTGTGCTCCTCTGTGTTTGCTTCTTTGCGTTGGCGGCTTTGCCTTATTTTCAAGGTTTACAGTCTCGGCATGCTTACCTACGCTCCTAGCGTGTGCTGGCATATTTGCTAAAGATATGATTGTATAATAGTTATTGCGCCTCAACTGTTGAAATACCAAGTATGATTTTGCTCTCTTCCTAAAGCGTTAGTACTCCTCTTAGTACTGATTGGGTGAGATTGTTGTCTACAAAAATGAATTTATATTGACATGTAACTACATCCTTTGCTCAAAATTACTGCAACAATACCTCTATGTTGCTATTCACGACTACCTGTAGTACTTCCCAAACATTATCTGACCCGCCATTAACCTTCATCTACTTTTATATGCATTTTATAGTGTTACTTGAAACCCTTTGCGGATTATTTGCCCGGCAACCTTGCGCACTTGTGATCTTCGTTTCGACTGATGAGTTACTGATTTGCGTATGGATGATGCGCAAAAAAACTGTTTACGGTGCTCATGGCTTGGTAGCACATAACCTGAAGCGAGAATTAAAAGGAGTGGATTTTGCCTTTTCGCTGTTTTTTTGGTCGCAAATTAGACAATGAAGGTAGTGTCCTTCGTTCCTACTGAAATTTTAGGGTCACGGAATCACTCATCTACAATGCTTTTTCTACCTGGAAAAGTCTCGCGTTCGATATGCTCATAGCCATCTCATGTTTTCTGAAACTAATCGTTTCTGATTGGGCGCAATTGGAATGGATGTCATAAGCATAGTTGTTGTTGGCGTTTTTCAGTACTTACTTAGGTCATGATGAAAACCAGTGAACTTTCCTTGTAAGGGGAAAAATCTTCAGTGTCACTGAACGGTCATGATTTGGTCCCTTTTTCGCAGGAGAGTGCCTCTTGCAGTCGGGAAATAGGGGTGAAGCGATGTATTCTGCTCGCCATACTACTGCGATTAATAAAACACAATATATTTTAACTGGATGAGCCATTATGTTTTTTCGTAAAGCGGCTTTATCGTGGACTAGTTCTAAGTTTAGTTTTATTAGCTGTGTCAACTCATTTCATTTCGCATAATTTGCAGGATGCTGACAAGAAGAAAGTTGATGGAGGGGGTACTGGCGATGAGGCGGTAGCCTCTGCTGTGAATTTCGGATCCTGTATGAGTTTTACGTCGGAGTCCGAACGGGGTAGGCTTCCCTTATAATTCACACTCATGCATTTACTGCGCATTTGTCGACACTAACAGTTGTAAGTTCGGCACTCACTTATCAGTATTACTAGTGGTGTTATTGTTGTCTGTAGAAGTTTTGGGATTCGTTTCCTGTTTGCTGGTAGCATAATTTGTGATCTGTCCTCAGTTCCATGAAACCTAATAGCAATTGCTTTTTCTACGCGTTCATAAGAATGTTATAGTGGCTGAGTTCGTGTAATAGAGACCTGATTTCACTTCTTGGTAAGGCCTCTAACCATATTATTCCATTAATTCCATTTGCAACCTTTCACAACTCCATTTCTTGAAAATTCTGCTTACAGCTTCTTCGGTAGCTGCGTGGGCGGATTTGCAGCATGAAGGTGTTTCCAATGTTTTTTAGGCCTAACGTTCGTTCCTCCCGTCTAACTCTCACCAATTTTGTCAAATTATTCAGTGGATTACCTTACTGTTGAACCATACACATACACATGCACACATACATTTTCTCCACGCAAATGCTTTATTTGACGTTGTGCTTTATAATTTATGTTGGTAAGAATAAGTTTTTTGGTGATGCTCGCTTGTCTCTGTTTAAAATTATGGACTTTAATGGTCTTGCTGGTGCGAATATCAGTCCATGTGGTTTAATGTATTTGGGAAGATTGGGTGGCGGATGGTTTGTCTGTAAGCCTAATAATTATTAACATTTACAATAAGAAAAGCAGTTCACGGTATCCATGGTTCTGAAACATGCCTCTAACGCTACATGCGCTTTATAACTCGATGCAGATCTTTACCCGCACTTTTTTTTATAATTTCTCTCACTACATGGTTTTGTTCCCCTTTGCATGGAAAGCTCTCCGAGGGGGTTTCATTGCAACAATTGTATGTCGCGATCCACTCGTAACTGGGATCTATTTTATCCCCACAATGACGTTATGGCCTGCTAATTCAACTGACCGTTTTTTTCTTTATTTCTACAATTATCAAGTGAGCTAAAGGCATAGCTTATTTGAATAAGTGAAACTTTTGACTCTTAACGCAATGGAGTCGAAATCTAGATTCCTTTGAAGCACCTGTTTACTGACTTTACAGTCTAGCCCGTAATAGGAGCTGATAAAGATTTCGGGAGGTCACACCCTTATGTGTTTTGTTAGACTGTGCAGACTCGGTTCAGCAATCAAGTGGCAACTTGATACATATGTCAACTAGTTATAAGGACGTACTGAATCTTAGTAACAAGTCCTGATCATTCTGCAATAATCACTGGTTATGCCTTTCTCGGTCTTGCTTCCTCTCCAAAAACTAACGTTCAACTTCTGTTTCCAATTTTATTAAAGCCTCAATGTTTCAAAGCATGCCTGGGTCTGATGGAGATGATGAGGACTTTTTTGATGCTCAGTGTAAGTATTTTTCCTTCCTTGCACCACTGTTGTCTTTTAGCCTGTGAATATCTTTTAGTAAAAAAAAGGCTTTCCATACTTCTCCACCTAGCAAATATGGATGTATTGTACCGAGTACATGATTGATAAAATTTTTCTTAATAAAGTAGTGCTTACTATAGGTTCGTGTCTCATTCCACCTTTACATGCAAATTAAGCTTTACTTTTTAAACCTTATCCGAGATGGCATTTTTGCAGCGACGTCACAGGAAATTTGAGAAATTTTGAGATGTCCATCTTTAAGTATGATCATTTCAACTCTTTATGCCATTTGAGGTTACTGTAAATACGGTCTATTTTATGGGTGATTTCGCTATGGGATGACCCATCGTTTTAATTTTACTAAAAATGCTTTCCTATTAGGTCAAAAGTAGTCTAGCTTTGGAAATGTTATTTCGTTGGAATCAAATTTTTTGCGTTGTAATTTGTCATATCGCCCTTGTCTTATTGCTCTTCATTTTTTGTGGCAATAGGGCTAGAGCGTCGAATTCCCCTTTCCGAGATCTCCACACTTTAGTTGATAGTCAAGCTTGCATTTTGAGCGTCTCCGAGTGCTGCTCAGCCGTTTTTCTGGTTTAAACACTTTCTGCTGCTGATTAAATTCATCACTTATGAACTGCGCCATAAACTTCCAATGTTTGCCTGACTCCCTAACTCTAGTAACGCTAGAGTACAAACGACAAATTCGTATTTTGCCCTTAAACGACTGGAAGCGCTGTCATCATCAGTAAAAGCTATATCACTTAATCGCATCAACACCTCCCTTTAGCTGTGAACACAAATGGAGAGTTTCCCCTCGTTGTGCCCTCGACTGCCATTGAAGGTACTACTTGAGTGTTACTGACTTTGCCTCTACACATCGTTTTTGTTAAAAAACATCTACTTAACCTATGTTTTCCTCTGAATTACACGTCATCCGAAGTTTCCTGCGTGAAACTTATGCAAGAAATAGCTGTATTTCCCTAAAACTATCTGCTTGCATCCGCGTCTCTAAATTATCGTTTTTCAGGTGTCCGTTATGCCAGAACTGGGGAAGTCGCTCAAAAAACTGTTCTTCTCTTTGTTGTTTATGGGGGTAGGTCTGTCCTGGTTTTACATTTTTGAGATGAGCTTTGTGAAGTAGCCCGCATGCTCTGCCATACAGCATCATACTGACCATTTTCAACATGAAGTCAAGGTTCGTGTGTTCCATTGAGCCAAATTAGGAATTTTCTGAAGTTAGGTGCCAATGCCCTTTTTGCAGTAAGAAAAAGGGATTTATTTTTTGTATCCAATGCATCGATAGTCCGTTTTGCAATTTACAATGGTTGAATCAATTTTATTGGACATTAACTTTGGAACTCTTAGATCGACTATCTTTATGCTTGGCTGAATCTTTAAAGCAAGGTAGATTCTTTACTATCATTTTTTAAAGGTTGTTTGCAAGAAAAGTCAACTGACGAATCCAGCAAATACTCTGACTTTACAACATTCAAGTCTCTGGTGGAATCAACGGTGAGGAATTTCTTCCCTGGTCTGCAGTTACGCATAATTATGCAACTGATTTCGTGTTCCTCTGTGACTGCGGATACGCTGCGGTCACTGAATGCGTGCGTGACCTTTATTTCCTTCCCTTGCTGACTGCCACACAAGGAATAGCGTTCGAATTTGCATTCTTTTTGCTTGCACTACTGCAATTGAGGCATAAGCGGTTCTTACTGCCTTCAACAAAGCAATTACCGTTAGCTACCAATCTCCATTACTAATTCATTTTGAGCACATTTGGTGCCAGGATTGTGACAGTTTTTCATTACTCGGTGCTGTATAGTTGATTGAGAAGAGCTACTTGCCATGACTTAACGCTTTTCTCTCTGATGCGTCTGGCAGTGGCCTTGGGTAATAATATGAAGCCTTTCTAGCCATTAGCACGTGACTTCCCTTCTAGCTGAAACCTTTTTTGCAAAAGATTTCCTAGTTTTATCTGTTGGCTTCTATTTTAGGCTTGACCCAGCTATGCTTGAACCAGGTGTCTGGGATGCGAAGAAAGAGGCGGTACGAAGCGTTATTACAACTGGAAACATTCCAATTCTTCTAACTACATCATCTCACTATACTTATGTAAGGATATTAGCAGTGTTTTTTTGTAAATTATCAATTTTAACTGCTACTACTAATTCATTTGCGACTACTTGTTGGGCATTATCTTAGAGTTTAAATACATTTTGCCTTTTTCACAGAGCTCTGTTTTTGACTAATC